GGGGGGGGGGAAGAGTGAGATACAGAGAGAAAAGCAATAAGAACGAGGAGTGGCAGGAATAAGAGCAGCAGTAACAGGGATGATGTACCGCGGGAGGCTGCGCCCTGATCTTTCTTCGCACCGTTTAGTCACATTCTCCGTACGTCTGCGTACGAATAGAGAACTCAGTATCTCTATGTGGCGACTTTCTTCGTTCATCGCGACTCGGTCGCCCGTCGTCCGATAGTTTCTTTTGTCACCGAAATTTGGTGCTCCGACGTTGATCGAAGGAAAATGAAAATTGGTGATTAAAATTTATTTTTTTTTCATTTCACTCGAATTTTTTTTATTTATAAAAAGTGAAACGAAATATATATATATATATTTATATATATATATATATATATATATATATATATACTCATTGGGACAGTATTGTTAATTTTTTTTATTGGACCAATCTCCTCTCTGCTGCCGATGACTATTTTTTTTTTTTTTTTCTTTTACCCTCGATATACTATCCCGACCTGTATATATGCATTTGAAGAGGCATAACGAAAGCTCTGGTTTCGTGAATGGCTTATTGGACTATCGTAATGGCCGTCTCGGGGCTCGACTTTCCTTCTTTTATCTCGTACGATTTAAGAAGCTGAGCCTGATAAGTTCTCCCTGCCGGATCCGATTTCGCACTTATTATTTGCTAATCGCACAGAATGCCGCCGAGATACCAACGACAGTCGGCGATGCGATTAATCGGCGTCCCTTGTTGGCTTCCGAGTGAAATCCTAGACAATGGACGCGCATTGATACCTTCGCGACGAAGATAAGGACTCGCGATGTATTCAGGGGGCCAAAGTCTGCGGGTCCTTGGTTAGGCGGGAACTTCGTGGGGAGCTGAGCCTGAAAAATACATGGGAAATCTTTTCCGAGCGAAAGCGTCTGTTCACAAGTGTCGTGATAAATTCTCGAAATCGATGGCTCTGGCTCTGGTCCAGGAAGAGGAAGATTTAGAAGGGAAGACGAAGGGTACCCAGTCGGCGCGTGCGTTTTACTGTTTGGAGAACCCTTGCGAAATTGGGACGGATCACGAAACTCTTTTTCTTCTTAATGAGGCTGGAGCCCCCCTCCCCCTGGTTCGCTCTATTTTTTCAGGCATCCCTTAACGGCAGGGGTTGTCCTAGGCATTCGCTTCAAACTTCAGGTCGGTGGGGAATACGCACTAGGGTGAGAATGACGAAATGCCGGTCAGGTGGGTTGTTTTGAAAGTCGAACTCCTTCAGACCGATTTAAATTTCCCGCCATTCCTTATGGGACCCCCGACGCTACTGTTGAAATAATAAGGGTGGCAAAAATTTGTTTACCCCGTGTCAATGGATTTTGAAATTTTTTTTTTTTTGGGTCTTTGGTCACGTTTGAAATTTTAGGGGAGGGGGTGATGTGGGAGGGGGGCACGCATGCGAGGTCTGTCCTGGACCATGCGATTCTTTGGGAATTGGCTGGGTGGGAAGTGCAGGAGAATCACGGATGCTAATCTTGGAGGCTGGGTCTTAGGGTACATTGATATATTGCCCAACGACACAGTAGCGTTCGGTGTGAATGGCCGACTTACCCTGCCAGTCTATACCTATAGCGACGATTGTAGTCAACATGGGAATCCACGTAGTTGGCAAGAATCCCAATAGCCACTGGAGAGACGGTGATTAGGAGGAATCGTTATCGCTCTCCGATTATATCGTAGCGACTGTACGAGTAACGGAAGTATATTTCAGTATCCGTGACCTTGTGTCGTGTAAGTGTATCGTTCGGCTCAATTAATCTTAATGAATATTTTTTTTTTTTAATCGAGGCAAACAAGGACACGGTTTAAGGGCAATCGGTTTTTACGAACAGTCGCGATTACTCGTGTCACGTTGTTACGTAACCTCGTGTTATTCACTGCCGAAACCCAGCATGGGAGATTCCGAAAATTTTCATGGATTATTTAAGAAAAACTTTTTTTTTCAAGTCTTTATCACACATTTTTTTAAATCAAATTTCGAATCGCTGCTAGTTTTCCTGTTTTTTTTAACCCAAAATTCAAATTGCTTATCTGCCGCTGTAACTATTGTATAAAATTCGTAACCCGATAACCTTGTGTGCCATTGATCAGTTTTATTAGCTCATTTCGTACTACACGTGTAACAAAAAAAAAAATGGCGCCATTCTCAATAAAATTCCCGATACTCCATTTTCGTCCGATTTCGTCCGATACGATATATGTAATTGGGTGATACAATTTTTTTTTTGCAAAACACTCCGATCCACACAATAATAATAATAATAATCCATGCTTGGTTCAATGCTATGTATAAACGTGCTGCGTATTAATATAGTAAACATGATAAGTGGCATAAAGTGAAATTAAGGGGGGAAAAAATGAACACATTGAAAATACCTCGTTCGATGCTATTCGTGGGATGACGTGCTTCTTACGTCACGACGAGGTCGAGATACCATTCGCTGATTGGCTCTCGTTCGAGATACCACCAGATTAGCTATCTCCCGTTGATGACCTCCTGATCTCACGCTTCGAGTCCTCCTGTACCCCAGCATCATCGTCATTGTCACCATTGGCCACCTTCATTATTATTATTTCAACAGTATTCGCTATAAATAATGCTGTCTTCCATTTTTATTCCTCTCTCTAGAAATTCTCGAATTCCACCTAGAAATCAAATCTGCTTGCTCCGTAATATGTATAATTGAAAATATCAAAAGTGTCGTTCGACTTGGTAAATAAGATGCTTCCAATAAATCTCCCCCTCGTACTCTAATCTCCCTCTTCCTCCATAGATTCTCCAAATCAAGATCGCCCGTTCCTTAATAAAACGACACCCAGTATTTCTCACGCCATACATCATCGTTCTTCAAGTTTCGAAATATCACAGCTGCATTTAGTGATATGATGGGGGGATGCTGGG